CCTTAAACAATAGTCTGCTTTCATGTCACAGATATATGATAGGTAGAAATCTAGATTCTGCATCTCATAGAAAATTTTCAATACTCCTCTCTCTTCTCCTCTCTGACCTTTCCTATTTCCCTCCCAAATGATCCCTTCTCTGTGCACATAACACCCTTCTGCTTTTATCACATACATACATACAGAAAAACCACAATTATATAACAATTCTTTATCTAGAATGTTTTTCTGCTTTTTGCTAAAATTCAAAGACTCAATTAGTGTCATAAGATCCACTGGGTGTACGATAGCTTACTAAAATTTAATGACAAACTCAGGTAGTTAGAATGAAGTTACAGAAGACACTCTTCTCTCCATTTGAGTCTTGTTTTGTCTCAGAATATCGTAGGCTGGTTGAGTAAAAGATTGAGGAATCACCATTTTAAATGACTACTATTTTTGAAGGGAGAATTGTGGTGTTCTTTAATCCATCTGAACTTCCTAGTGCAGTGGTTCCCAACCTTCCTAATGCTGCAACACTTTAATACACTTCCTTATGTTGTGGTGACCCCAACCATAAAATTATTTTCATTACTACTTCATAGCTATAATTTTGCTACTCTTATGAATCATAATGTAAATATTTTGGAAGATAGAAATTTGTTGAGAGGCAGTGCCCTAGAGACATTTGCCCCATTATGTGTGGCTTCATTAATTATATCACTTGAAGAAATAACTGAGAAAAGAACACAAATACCTCTGAATTGAAAGGATTTAACCCCACCTTCCACACATTGTTCCCACCCTCCCTCGTCTTCATCCTTCCTCCACCACACAACCTATCACCACTGGTTCAGTTAGTAAAAGTTCTTATTATATGCAGGCCACCCTGCCATCACTTCTAACCCTGAAGGCACTCATAGAACTCCACAGCACAGCTTTAAGAATATTCATGTAAGACACATGTATGGCTGAGAAAGAGAACAAAGTCATTGTTTTAATGTCAGTGTTCTCATTTTACAGACAGCAACTTTGCAGTTCTGGGGACCATTGTGCAATTCAAGTTTGCTGGCTGTAGACTGACTCCTTTACACATGCGCATGTGAGTAGATGATTCTAACCTCATAGGGAGTTGGCTGGATAAATAATGGCTGTAGATAAAAGTTTCTGTCCCACCTGGTCCTGCAGCCGTTTAGTCCCCAAAAAACACACCGAGGCTTACAGTAATGATAAATTGTTTGGCCTATTTCTCAGGCTTATGCTAACCAACTCTTACAACTCAAATTAACCCATAATCCTTATCTATATTTAGCCACATTGTTTGGTACTTTTTCTTAGTATGGCATATTCATATAGCTTCCTCTGTGTCTCTGACTTTTCTCTTCCCAGAATTCTCAGAGTCTGGTATCCCCACCTATACTTCCTGCCTGGCTACCAGCTAATCAGCATTTTATTAAACCAATATGATCAACAAGTCTTTACAGTCAGCAAGAACATTATCCCACAACAAAGGGCCTTGGAGTCTGATTTCAGAGGTCCCCAATAATACAGAGGATGCAGCTTTTTTGTGAAGATTCTGCTACATCTTCCTTGATTTCCTTAAAAGTTTTTAATTTTGGAGTGTAAAAACATTTCTCCCCCAGGGGAAAGTGAAAATGCAGTCCTCCACAACCACAACTTATGCAGTTGAATATCCCACATTTGGAGAGGTTGCCGGGGCTTGAACATGCAGAGTGAGATGAATAAGTCTTGCCATGGGAAAACCATCTTCATGATTACAGTATCTCCCCTGCCAGGTAAGAATAAAATATTCTTTTAAGGACTTACTGCATTTAAAAAATATGTTTCTTTTTGGAGGGTCACAGAAAGGGAAAAAAGCTAAGATCTCCTGAGTAAACTCAGGGATATAGAAGGGAGGGTTTGGGAGTGGGAATATGAGGAATCAACAAGACAGAGTTGGGGGAGAAATGGAGGGGAGGAGCAATGAAAGAGATATCTTGATAGGGGGAGCCATTATGGGGTTAGGGAGAAACCTGGTGCTAGAGAAATTCTCAGAAATCCAGAAGTATGACCCTAGCTAAGACTCCTAGCAGTAATGGAGAGGATTTCTGAAGGTGCCTTCCCCTTTAATCAGATTAGTGACTATCCTAATTGTCATCATAGAACCTACATCCAGTAACTGATAGAAGCAGATGCAGTTACTCACAGCTAAGCACTGGGCTGAGCTCCTGGAGTTCAGTTGAAAAGAGGGAGGAGGGATCAAATGAACAAGAGGGGGCAAGACCATGAGGGGGTGAATCACAGAGACAGCTGACCTGAGCTTGTGGGAGCTCCTGAACTATGGACTGACAGCTGGGAAACCTGCACAGGACCAAACTAGACCCACTGGATGTGGGTGACAGTTACGTGACTTGACCTGTTGGGGGGTGCCCTGGCAATGGTACCAGAACCTATTCCAGGGGCATGAATTGACTTTTGGAGCCCATTCTGTGTAGTGGAATACCTTGCTCATCCTTGACAGAGGGGAGGGGCTTGATCCTGCCTCAACTTGGTATGTCAGAATTTATTGACCTCACAAGGAAGGCCTTTCCCCCTATGAGGAGTGGATTGAAGGTTGGAAGGGGGAGAGATAGAAAGGGAGGGAGGGGGAACTGGGGTTGACATGTAAATGAAAAGTAAATTTCTTTAAATAAAAATATGATCCTTAATTATATAATATTTTAGAATAGTTTTCTCATTACCTTAGGGAGAATATTTGGAGCTATCTCACCAATAATTTCAGCATCTTTGGAGCCATTATAATGTTGAAGAAAATGGTATCTATAAATAGTATCTGCCATCATAAATTTTTTATCAAAGATGCCTAAAGAGTTATGTGAGAAAAGGAGATGGTAAATCAGTCCCAAATGTAGAGCATGATCTCTAGGTTCAAATGACTCTGACATTAACTGTCCATGCTTTGGACATGAGAAACCTCAGTTTTTCATCTGAAATAAGTAGAAATTATATATAATCATGTGAAAATCATGAAAAAGATGTATAAATACTTGTGGGATTATCATGTCACCTTCATTTGATCCTTACTTGTCTTTTGTGAGTGCTAGGTATGAGCTACCCTGGGCAAAATTGAAATCATATGTTCAAAAGAACATTTAAATCAACAGCAAGCTGACTCATGGGATTTTAAATAGGTGTTGAGGTGGAAGGATTTGCAGCCAGAAATTCTTGGGTTCAAAAATCTCACCTTATTTTCCCATATAATCTTGAATTATATAATCTTATATAAGCATTTTGTCATTTTGAGAATCAAAAAGTTCACACACAGAGAGACACAGAGACACATACATACACAGTAGGTGTACAATGTCCAACATCCAGTAGGAATTCATTATATGCTATGCTTATATAATCACCTCTCCTTTCTCTCAAGTTGGCCTTTCATTCCTTCTATAAAAATCACTCAACCAGGGAACAGCTAGAGTGGAACATATAGTAGGGAACAAAGGGGCTGAGAGAGCAGAAGATTCGGCTAGGCAAAATGAAAAAGTTGGTAGGGCAGAGAAACAGTCTACAATGATTTTATCCAACTGTAAAAGAGCACAAAGTCTGTTGGGAAATTTATCTTTCAATTGGTTACTAGTCCCCAGAAGGAGCTGCAATGTGAGGGAGGGTAGAAAAAAAAACACAGGAAGGCTTCTTGAACTTCAAACTTTCTGGAACTATCTTCTTACAATACCTCATTTTAAGCAAGGACACCAACCTGAAAATGAGGAATTAAATTGGTGTTTTTTTTGGTCAAGTTGACACAAACCAGGGCCATCTGGGAAGAGGAGTCCTCCATTGAGAAAATGCCTCCATCAGATTGCATCCATTTTCTTGATTAAGGATTGGTGTTGGAGAGCCTAGCTCATGATACGCAGTGCTACCCTGGGCAGGTGGGTCTTGGAAGGCGTAAGCAAGGTAGTTGGACTTGGGTGTAAAAAGCAAGCCAGTCAGCAAGTTTCCTCCAGCTACTTCCTGCCTCTGCTACTGCTTAACTTCCTGCCCCAACTTCCCTCAAAGATAGATTATGATTAGAGTAAGTAAGCCAAATAAACTCTTTCTTCCTCAGGTTGCTATTGGTCACATCAAGGCCAGACAGCAAATAAGAGAACTTCAGATTTCTGCTCATGTGTAATTGTATCAAGGACCTCTTATTTTCTCAAGGTGACTGACTCTATTTGAAATTCTTTCCTATAACATTTATTTACTGTGTGAATTGTTGAGGAAAGCCTTTTCCTTGCCAGCCGCTTTGGTTTTTTCCCACCAGTCGCCTGTGCTCTGCCACGTTGTAGTCCCCAAATAACACACAAGACACTGTATTAATTATGAAGCTGTTGGCCTTGCTTGTTTCTTACTGGCTAGCTCTGACTTAAGTATTTCTCTTACCGGAGGAAAGGGTCCGGACTTCTTACCCCTATGGCAGCTACATGATGACTCCCTGTGTTTCTCCTCCCCAGAGTGCTCCTTGACTACTAGTCCCACCTATCTTGCTTCCCCATTGGCCAACAGTACTTTATTGACATATACACAGGACTTCCCCATCAGTGAATAGATGGTATATACTCAATGTCTTTCCTGCTGATCTTATAAACCAAGCTGAAGTGGATGTTGGTGACTGCTAACCTTAGGACCAGATGGACAAACTTGTATAAGTTCTCACTAGGCATGTATGACAGAGGTCAGTCTTGAAGGAGCCCAACAGGTTCACAGACATGATGCAAATCCTGACACCAGCCTGGTTTCTCTGGGATTCCTGTCAAGCTTTTGAGCTTTCAAGGCCTTGAATCTTCTTAAAATGTGGATAATGAGCATTATACTCCTGCCTCACAATTATGAAGATTAACACAGATTATAGTTGATTATAGCTATGAAAGTGTTGTGTGAAAATAAACACTGTGGTTACCTCTAGTAACAGTCTCCTCAAGTTCTTCCATAACTGTTCTGGACTCTTATCGAGAGGACACTTCATAATGAGACCATTTGGGATTTCACCAACCAAATTTAATTGAATGTCATTCATATTGGTTCAGAATATATGAGAATTTTAGGCGCTGAAAGTGATTGCATGTCTAGTCCAACCATCTTTTTTTAGGTTTTTCTGGGTGGGGGTTCTTTGAAGGTTTTGGTTTTTTTTGTTGTTGTTGTTGGTTTTTTGTCTTTTGAGACAAAATCTCAAGTAGCCCAGACTGATTTTCTACTTTCCATATAATTAAGGATGAACTTCAAGTCTTTATCCAAGGACTAGGATTACAGGCTCCAGCCTTGTCTTTTTACATGGGGAGGAAAGGAGTTCTAGACAAAGAAAAAGACATGCTGTAGGTCATTCAACTACATAGTGAGAGTTGGTATCGGAGTGAGCTTGTTCCGTCTACACTGTAGAAACCGAATCCTACTTTAGCTTTAAAATAGTGTATGTCTGTGCATGTGTGTGTGTGTATGTGTGTGACTGAGTGTGTGTCTGAATGTGTGAATGTGTGTCTGAATGTGTGAATTTGGTGTGTGTGTGTGTGTGTCTGAATGTGTGAATGTGTATGTCTGGATGTGGGGATGTGCACGTGAAGTGCTATTACAGGTGTGTATTGTAAGACTTCTGAGCTCCCTGGAGCTGAAAATACAGGCAGTTGTGAGTCATATAAACATGTACTGCTCTTGTAGAAAACCTAAGTTCATGTCCCAGCACCCAGTTTATATGAGAATAAAGCTGAAGTAGGATTCAGTTTCTACAGTGCAGAGGGAACAGGCTCACTCCGATACCAACTCTCACTATGTAGTTGAGTGACCTACAGCATGTCTTTAAAATACTGTAAGTGTGTGCATGTGTGTGTACCACTGAGTGATCTCTCCCCTGAGTCTGAAATTCTGTTCAGAGGATACATGAACTCAACATACCTCTTTAGTTTTCTGTGACCGCAGCTATTGACAGACCATTGCTCATTTCTCCCTTGGAGTCTTATATTGATTCCCCCTTAGTTTCCAAATGTCCAGCACAATCTTTGTTCTATTAATGGCCATGAAGAGTTTTGTGAAGATCATATCACTCCTACATATATGTACCCACTCATACACACAAAGCATTTTAAATAATTTAATCTCTCTCTCTTGTCTTCAACATAAAAACAAAAGTCCTAGAAGTAGAACATAAAATTTCCAGGGATAGCGGCTTTTCTCCTGTCCTTCCAAGTTTCTTCCTAGGGACTGTACACTACAGACTTCTAGATCAGCCTCTTCATTGGAAAGTGATTCACTGCCTTCACTTTGAGAGTAAATGACTCCTCCAGAAAGTCCTCTTTTTCTACTTCCTTATATGGCAAATCCCTTTCAGTCATCCAGCATATAACCTATCCTCCCTGTTCCTGTGCCTCAGGTAGAGATGCTGTGTCTTTCCAGAAACTTCTTCATCATTATATCACAGAAAACATGTGGAAGAGAAGCTGTGCCTGGCAGAACTGACCTTTATTTCAAGTCTGTGCCAATCTCAGGTATCCACCAATTTGTGTCATCAATGAGCAGCAGAGTCCCAGGGGAGTTTTGTTTTAATGAAGGAGTTGGATTGGGAGATGCAAGTCTGGAAAAAAAGTCAGAAAAAGATGTATCATTCTTGCATGCTTGTGTGTTGTTTTACAGGACACTTAAATCAGTCAGCCAAAGTTATGTCATAATGCCCGCCCCCAGACTTCTGTCTGTGTCTGTCTTTTGACTCTCACTACCGAAAGTTGCTACACCATGTCGCAGACAGCACTTTGTGTACGGAGATATGGGTACACAGGCAACACATTTGTCTTAGAATATCACAAAGACAAACTTCTGTTGTTTCTGCTGCATTCAGATGGCTCCACTGCCCTCTTGCCTACTCTTCTTCTTTGTACCTTTATGGTTCCCTCCAGCTGATATCATGGGACAGTATGTAGCATGGTGTATGAGGAAGGTTCCAGGTAACTTGGCTATTTCCAGAAATATTGTTATCTTGGAGTAATGGAAGGTGGCCGTCCTTAACACAGACCTGAGCAGCTATTGCACAGTCCTAAAGATCTTCCATGTCTATAACACTCAAGCCTCATTATACAATATAACAGTAGATATTAGTGTTACACCTGTTTAGTCAAAGCCTTGACTTTCTATTTTGTTATCTCCAAGGTCAACATGCTGCTGTGGATGGAGAAAGGTCTGATGACCTCCTATTACCCACACAGTAGAGGATGGAGTCTAATGTTCCCTAATACTAGATAGCGTTTTGACACTTTTGAGAGGCACAACAGTTTATTAGTCACATGAAGCCACATTCCAGGTCTTGAGAGAAGAAGAGGCTACACATTGTTTAGGTACCTGCCTCCAAAACTCAGGGGATAAAGATGAAGAATGATGCCTGGTTCCCAGAGAAGTATTGGCCTGTCTGTGTCCTTCTATAGATACAGCCTGGCACAGAAGTACCCAGAGGGCAGAAAGACACTCGCTCTACCAGTTAGTAATAGAACTAGCAAGGTGAAAGAGGATCTGAATTTAGGAGTTCAATAAGATTCACAGTTAAGCACTTGGGGCTCTATGAGGCTCAAAGGTATCCAGTCAGCACAGAAATGGTAGGTTTTACCACATACCCCTCTCTACTGTGCACACTGCAATGCCCTGCAGAAAATTCTCTAATTTGTTGGAGCATCCCCCAAGATTTCACTAATATTATTTTCTCTCTCACACACACAAACAACTGCTCATAAAAGAATGCTGTCAAGAAGCTGGTCTGTTCTTTGATGGCCCAGAAGATAAGGAGACCTGACATTAATTTATTTGCCTAGCGAATAACATGGCAACATCTTGGTTTGATAAGTGTGTCACTTACACCAAGGTCTCATTCACATTCAGTTTTATAAAGTGAACATCCCAGTAGAAACCAAATGAATCTTGTTGGTATCTAGGATAACGAACAATGCCAGCACTTCAGAGATTAAAGAGCCATGCCAAAGAGAAGTGGTAACTTGAGAGATTAGCTGTGCTTACTGGAAAGGTCAAGAGATATCACCGTGGCTCCCACACCAAGACCATGCTTCCCAGCCTTGCTAACATCACCTCCAATTCTTCCTTCCTAAGTCTGTACTCTGGAAATTCAAGATTTCACTGGTGGCCAATATTGCTTCTGTTAAATGCCCTTTATGGCTGCACATAAGACTAAAACTGTTAACTGGATTTCCTGATGGGGTTTATGTTCTAAAGTAGCATTTGAACCTGAACTCCAAAACTTCTAATCAAATCAGTGGGAAAGGTAGACGTGTGAGAGTCTGTACCATTCCCTTTGAGATGTGGCCTCTGAACTAAAGCTGCAAAAGAAGAGACATTGTAGAGGGGTACCTGGGGGGGCGCATAGTCTTTCTATCTTTCATTCTGCTATTCTGTGGAGGGAAAAATATGATCTGAAACTTGCGCAGCAATAGGAAAGGACTGGCCAAAAGAGATCAGCCTGAATGCTCAAGGAAATGGTTCTCATCCTTCTTGTGCCATTTTGCATTCACACAGTAGCTGTGTTCCTTCTGTGTTTGTGGAATCATAATGTCCCCACATGACCCTGCACAGCTGACTTCATGTGTGATTCTCTTACATAGCCAGGCTTGCAAATCCCTGATACCTTTTCCCTAATAAGGATTGGTCCATTTGTGCACATCCAAGAAAGCTGTTAAGTACATACCAAGATTGACCAAGATTGGTTTAATACAGCAGAGGGCAAATGGACCCAGATGGGAGAAAACAAAGGTTATTTGGAGAGCAGACACAATAAAACACCAACCAATAAACAGACAGCTAGAAGAAGGAAGTCTAGAGTGAACTAGAGAAGTCCTGTATCCCAGATAAAACCTGTTTTCCCTTAGCTCTAAGTCTATGTTCCCAGTCATGTCTGAGGTAAAAGTTGTAGCTACAGCGTGGGCAGATTCTGAGTCCAGGAATGTTCTAGGATGCAAGGGGTAGCATGTAGGGTTTGGTACAATAAATTCTTTGGGGATAATACAGATTCTAAGAAAAGCAAATTTATGAACTAAAGGATGTATATCTATGCATGTACAAGTTGAGCCATCCCACAAAGGTCACTGACGATCAGCTGATTTCATTAGTTAGAGTTACACAGCCAGAAGCTTACAAAGGAGGGGAAAATGGCTGCACCATCTTTACTGATTTAAAAGTTTGATTCTGGAAGTAAGACTCCTCACAAATAGTGCCGATTATCTGATTCAGTCATATGACAAAATAAGAAGCAATCAGAAGAGGCCGAACCACTCACTTACCAGGTCTGAACTTGTTCGTATTCTCCAGAGATGTGATACTGTTGCCTTGATGGCTACCTCAGGGCTCTGGAGCTGCCCAACAAGATCTGCTTCATTCACAACCCAGCTCACTAACACTTGCTCTTCAGTCCTTGCTCCAACCTCCATCTTTACTCAAAGATTTAGCACCTTCATTTATTTTTAAACCCATCTTCTTTCTTGAGTGAGCTTCCCCATTTTGTGCGGAAAGGTTAAAAGTTCACCACTGTAGCAGACCAGGCCTTTTTCTTGTTGGAGGTGGTTTGATTAATCAATGCCTCTGGGATTTAGTTATTTGGTCCCAGGTTTGTGTTGTTAGGGAAGGTGTCTTAGTTAGGCTTTCTACTGCTGCAGCATAACTCCATGACAAAAAAAGGAGTTGGAGAGGAAATGGTTTCTTTAGCTTATTCTTTCATATTGTAGGCTATCCTCGAAGGAAGCTAGAACAGAAACTCAAGCAGGGCAGGAACCTGGAGGCAGGAACTGATGCAGAGGCCCTGGAAGAGCACTGCTTATCGGCTTGCTTCCCCTGCCTTGCTCAACCTGCTTTCTTATAGAACCCAGGACCATCAGCCCAGGGATGGCACCACCCACCATGGGCTGGACCCTACCCCATTGATCACTAAATGAGAAAATGCCTTATAGCTGAGTCTCATGGAGGCATTTGCTCAGCTGAAGCTCCTTCCTTTCTGATGACTCTAACTCATGTCAAGTACACACACAAAACCAACCAGTACAGGGGGCTTAGGAGATGTGGCCTTGCTGGAGGAAATATGTCATCCAGAACCATTTCCAGTTTGATCTACTGCTTCCTGTTTGTAGTTTAAGGAAAATGCTGCTTCCCTGGAGTACTCTACCACTTCCTCCTCTCAATATCTTTCTGTCTCCCTTTCTGTGTAGAACCCTGAGCCTTGAGGGGAGGATTTTGAAGAAGACATCCCATTTAGAGCTGAGTGCTCCAGGGTCTCTCAGTCTCTGCATACTGTCCAGTTGTGGGTCTCTGTACTAATTATTACCTCACGTAGGAAGATTATTCTCTGATCAGAACATGACTGACACACATATGAACTCACAGACTGTGACAACACACACACACACACACACACACACACACCCTACAAAAGTTCATACCAGACAAAATTCCAGCATGAAAATGGGGAAGTAGACACCCCTATCCAAGAAACTATTTGTCATTGATAAATTCTGCATTAGGGAAAATCAGTTTTCTACAATACAGTGGCATTGGGTACATCAGCCACACCCCAAGATAGCATCGTGCCTGGTATAGCTGGCTATCACAAAATGGACTCCATGTTTTTGTATGCTTCTTGTTTGTTTTGGCTCTCACTGTTTTTTGTTTGTTTTTATTTTTCTTTTTTTGAGAGAGTAAGAGAATATGAAGTTTGGATGGGTATGGAGGTGGGGAAGATCTGGGAGGAGCTGAAGGTAGGGAAAAAGAAAATGATCAAGATACACTGTAGGAAAAAACGATTAATGTGAGCTCTCTGATTGATGCCATGCTTGTTGGCCACTGCAGTGATTGCCTCCTATCCCTCTGGAACCATTCCAAAATTACCTCTCCCTTTCTTAAGTTACCTTAGCCTTGATCTTTTAACACAGCAATAGAAAATTAGCTAACACAGGATGTCTCCATGTTTTGATTCATGGAATTCAACTTTATGGTAGATGCGTGCTATACATGAGGCACAGACTCTCAGAGAATGTTTTTCCCAGCCAATCCTGAACAATCAGAACAGGAATGGATGAATGGCAGTAAGGACTTTGACTGTGTTAGCACTTGAGGCAAGGTTCATCTAATTGTCCTACCTCCATGAAAGCAAAGCTATCTATGTGAGCATTTCCTGATGTTAACAATGCATGAAATACTGACTTTAATTAATATTTACTCAATGCTCTTCCTTCATGTCAGGAAATGCTAGGGGCATCTATGTGTGCCAAACCATTCTGTCTACCGAATATAACTACGACGTAGGTCCTTGTGCAGGTATAAGAACAAAAGATGAAAACAACATAGCTGAGGATGAGGAAGACTAGGGCCTGAAATTCTGCGGCCCTAGTACATGCATTTCAGTTGTACTATGCTGAGGGTGACCAACTGCTCTGGTTTCTTAGAACTGATTTATGGGATACACTGGGGCAAGTTAGTCAGCCCAGCTGTGATCTAGAATCAGAATGACTGAAGCCTGCTTTTTAAGTATAAATTGTCTGTCTATGGCTCTGGAGGGATTAAACAACAGAAAATTGTTCTTGCATAAGTCCTAGAATCTAGAAGTCTGAGATCAGAAATTAAGAAAAAAGTTATTTTTGATAGATATGAAGGAAACAAAAAGATGGCTTTTAGAGGGCTATCTTTATGTTGATGTGAAATTCTTCTTTCTGTCTCTATCTGCTCTGTCTCTGTGTGTGTCTATCTGTCTCTGTCTCTTTGTGTGTGTATATGTGTATGGGTGACTTCTTTTTGTCAGAATAGAATTTGCATTGCATTAGTTACTACTCATGTGTTTACTAATCAGCTTTCTGTTATTATATAAAAACACCCATGGGTTCCCTTAGATTATCAACTTAAGAAAGGTTTGTCTTGCTTCACAGATTTAAAGGTTTGAATGAACAGTTGTTTGATCCCATGAATTTAGGTACTACATTAAGGTAGACACATCATGATGAGAGAATGGCAATGAAGTCCCACTTGCCTCATGGCTGAGAATAAATACAAGAGAACAAGAGGGGACCTCAGAATCCTTTGAGGGTAAAACTCAGTGACCAGAGTACCTTACACTAAGCTATTCTTCTTAAGTTTCCATTACCTCCCAATACTCCCAAACACAAGACCAAGCCTTCAACACATTAATCATTGGATCACCATTACCATCCAAATTGGAGCAAGCCTCATGGCTTAAATTTAATTTGGAAATCTCTATAAAGACCTTGTCAACAAATAAGGTCATATTATGAGGAGGTAAGAATTTCATCATGAAATTTGAGACACAATTCAATCCGTAGCAAAGGACATCCCAGCACCAGGAACAAAGTCCAATGTCTGGCATCAAATTCATCACAGATTTCCCATTTTATTTAGTGTTAGTAACATCAAAGTAGCTTAGGAATAACAAAATAAAAGGTAAACAAAAACACCATATTTACACTGTGCAACAGTCAGTTGAATTGGAATTTGAATGGTGGGGGTCCAAGAACCCGAAGTTTTATTCTGAATTCCTGCAAGTGAGTCACAATTTGAATTTAATTGTCCTCAAAGTTCATGCTCTTGGAGTGCTCGGTCCTGAGTTTAAAGCAGGATGTTGGAGCCTGTGGAGGTTCTAAGGGGTGAGGGCTGGGATGATGGTGATGCAGAAGTCAGTCCAAGGTGGGAAAGTCTTGGAGTTATGCCTTTTCTTGGTTCTGACTTTCTCTATTCCCCATCCAGTATCAAGTGAACAAGCCAAAGTGCAAGTTCCTGCCACTCTACCATGACAGCTCTGCTTGTGAGATACCACAGTCCTTGTGAAACCATGCCCAATGTAATGCTCTCCTCCCATACATTGTTCTGTCAAGCATTCTGTCACAGCAAGGAGAAAGGAACCGAGTAGACTAAGTTGTCTTAATATGGATGTGGAGCTGATAATCTATCATCAGTCTGAGTCAACATCAGGAAAGAGAAAAGTACAGCAAAGGATACAGCATGGAAGTAGAAGGGATGGTATTGCAAAATATTCATGTTGGATTGGGAATGGGTCCCCAAGAGGGCTGGGAACAGTAGGTGAGTCAGGGTTAAAAAATCAAAATTGGTGAAAAGACACCATCAGTGAGTCTTCTAGTCCTGGAAGGAGAGTTTCCATGACAGTGGGAAGCAGATAATCAATGGCTAGATACAGACTGTATACATCCAAGTGTTTGTTGGGGTGTAGTCTACCATCTTCTCTGTTGTCATATATGTATATATATATATACATATATATATATATACATACACACACACACACACACACACACACACACACACACACACACACACATATAGACTCAGCCAGAAAGAAAACCAGAATCAGGAGAAAAACAAAAGATGAATAAGTAGACAAAATAGGAAGGTTCTGTGTACTAGTTTTCAGCAGATCCATGTTGTGTGAAATTTCAGATTTTTTAAAATGGAGACATTAGAGAACATTTACTTCACAAAATGGTTGTCAGTGGGATCCTCTAAATAGCTTGTTTCCCCCCCAGGGCTGCTTGGTTTTATTTGCCAGAAATCGTTTCACACAATTGTTTTCTATAAGCACATCTGGCAAGAATCATGAACTAAGTTTTAGGAAACAATAGCTTTTGTTTGTTTGTTTATATGTTTGTTGTTGTTCTTGAGACAACAGCTTTTAAACTTAAACACAATAGAATAACTTACCTTTTTAGACGTGGTTGTTTCATATGCAGGATGAGAATCATGCCTTAATTCCTAACTAATTATCACTTTAAAATAAATAAATAGCATGTGTGAAAATAATTAGAAAATGCTGAAGTGTTTTTAGCAAGACATATTTAAGGGAACCTTTCATTATATTAAGTTGATCTGAGATGTCATGATGCCATTGACATGTAGCTCATGGTATTAGATATAATGGGATGGAAATGATTTTTCAATTAATGACTTTGGGAAGGATGCTTAACTACATGTGGTTTTCTGCAATTTCAGAAGGGGATTCTTTGCCTTTGCCCCAACAAAAGAGAAACAAAGATCTCAGCAAAGAACATAGGCAGAGCAGAGCCCTGAAACCAAAGGATGAACTGCAGACACATTGAAGTCCTTTCTAAAACAGCAAGTAATACCAGCAGCTAGCTTCTTGAACAATGTAGAAGGCAAGTCAGGGCTCTCTTCAGAAGCCCAGGCCACATGGGAGCTTGGAAATTTACAGATGGAAAAAATCAATTATTCCTAAGAGTCTAGGAATGGGAAACAATCAGCAGAATGACAATGGGCTGCTGAGAGTATACAGAGGTGGGGTGTGGACAAAGGTGCTTTGTTGTCTGTGCCAGAGAACAGGACCAGGTTATTGGTGTCCTTAGAAAAAGGCTACCCCTACATCCGATAGGGAGGAGAACTAAGACTTGCTATATGAATCTCTCCTCAGCAGAAAATTTATACCTGAATACACATAAGCTTGGTCTACTTTGTAACAAAATACAAGAATTAATTTTTAACCTTTCAGTTTTGGCTAAATCATGAAGTATTGTGAACAAGTTCTCTCAGATCTGGTCTACAGGGAATTGTCTTGCTTTGCTCTCCCAGGCAAGCTGCTTTGAGTACACACATGAGGATTATCATTACTTAAGATACGGTGTTGGATGGAGACTCATTAGTGTCTTTTCAGCTTGTAGCTTGCACACACAAGACATCTGCTCCCTGTAACTCACAAACACCTTGTCTTTTCTATAGGAAATTGTAAGCTGAGAACCAAGCAGACATCCACCTCTTTACCTTCAACCTTTCTTGCTCCCTGATGATAGCATGAGCATGC